TCTATCCGTCTATGGGATGTCAAAACAGGATAATAAAAAGCCATATTAGATGGTCATATTAGCACTGTCTACTCGGTTTGTTTCTCTCCTGATGGAAATACATTAGCATCTGGTAGTAGTGATAACTCTATCTATCTCTGGCATGTTAAAACGTTGAAAAAAATAGTGAAATTGGATGGCCATACTGATTGGGTCTACTCAATTTGTTTCTCTTATGAGGGAAAAACCTTTGCTTCTGGTAGTAGTGATAACTCTATTCGTCTCTGGGATGTCAAAACAGGATATTAAAAAGCCTAATTAGATGGTCATAAGGATTCAGTCAACTCAATCAGTTTCTCTCCTGATGGAAATACATTAGCCTCTGGTAGCGAAGATAACTCTATCAGTTTAGGGGAAGCAAAAACAGGATAATAAATAGCCAAATTGGATGGACATACTAGTTGGGTCTACCCAGTCTGTTTCTCTCCTAATGGAAATAAATTAGCATCTGGTAGTGGTGATAAGTCTATTCGCCTCTGGCATGTTTTGGATGCAAAAGAAATTTTACCAACTGATAAATAGTATATAAAAATTCCTACTGATATATGATCATTTTTCGAATCAAAAGGAAGTTGTATTTTGGAAGATTTAAAGTAAAAGCGAATTTGATTATTATGAACAAAATGCAATAATAATTACTTTTTAGTTAAACGTACACATCATTTACTTTGAAATTTTGAAAATCCATGGTCGGTCTATAATTATGGATATGTCATAAAACTTATCTCAATTAATATTTAAAGAGATTTAAATTTAAATGATACTACTTTAAATTAATAAACAGAGAACAATAAGCTAAATTAGGAGATTAAAAGAAAGATTGATATAATTACTTAAAGAAAACTAATTTAATACAAATTCTTTTATAATTTATAGTATATAAAATGAGAAGTTTACTTAATTTCATATTATTTATAATAGGGATTAATATGAAAATAGTAAATTAATAATTTTGTAAGATTAATTTTAATTCATAAATAGTAAAAGATATATTTTATCAAAAAGATAATAAAAAAGATACTCCAAGAATTCAATAATAAAGTTAATCTTATAAATAATCTAACCTATCACAAAGTGAAAACATTGGGATTGAATGATTTTTAAAATTACTCTACTCTTTTCTTGCTAATACCTTCATAAACTCTTCAATTGATAATAAAAGTATTAGATAGTATAAAAGACTGTAAAGGAATATTAATCATCAAAAAGTATTATATTTTTGAAATTATTAAGATTTATGGAGATAATTATATCTTCTCAAGCCGCCATCTAAGAATCTTAATTACTGATTAACTTAAGCACATCTATCCAATGGAGCAACTTTAAACAATTATTTTCAAAATCTATAAATAATATAAGTTTTTAAACAAAAAGCATAATATAAAAAGTTGGTTTTTAAAGAGAAATTAATGTCTAGGTAAAAATATTACTTAATGCAGCTTACCATCTGCTTCTGCATATTGAAGTATGATTTGAATTCATCAAAATAAAAAATTTACAGTTAAATTAGCAAATTAAGAAATTACGTGAATTTCTGATGAACCAAACCAATAATTTTTTATTTTGCAAATTGCATCAAAATATTTTGAGTAATAAAAAGAAAAACTATTGAAAAAATTGAAGAAGAATATGTTAAATTAAATCCAATTACTCTTTTCTAAAAGAAAAAAAAATGACTTTTAAAAAAATATATTTATAAAAACATCAATAAAATCAATAAATTCATTAATAACTAATAACATTTTGAGAGTTTTCCTAAATTATCATCTCTAGAATTCTTTCTATAACAATATCTCTGTGATCATAGATGACATTTATCAGTGTTTATTTCTTACTGATTATATTGTTATTTACTTGAAATTGTATATGGTTTTTAACACTCTTAAATTTAATTAAGTTGTAGGATTGTGTTTTAATAATCAATGATCATCAAACACTTTTTCTGGAAATAATCTCTTTTTAAGATCAACACTTAAGAATTTTCATATAAATTATTTAGCATCTTTAGATTTATTCTCCAAATCACGTACTCTTATGATATAAATTTAGTAAATATAATACTTTCAAAATAAAGACACCTAATTAAAACTCTCTAATAGTTAATGATCAATCCTCCCAGTAAATGGTGTATTCCTGCATAATAGCACATAGAATATGATTTCGCAAGACTATAAATCACATTTTTCATCATATTAATGGTTCAATACTTCTGGAGCAACATAAAAGGCTAGCTATAAGGATGAATCTAACAGTTCCAATATCTTTATTCATGGATTTATTTTTGACAAATTTAGATTCACCAACATTTATTAGCTTTAACTATAAATTCTGTTTTGTTAACAACAATAACAGTTTCTGGCTTTAGATCTCTGTGAACAAAATATTTCTCATAACAATATATATTAACTAAGGATATCTATCTAATATAATTAGCTGCAATAATTTCAGTAAAGCATGCCTGTATCTTTATCCTTCCAAAAGTTCTCCTTATAAATTTTATAAATGTTGATAATTAATTAGTGTTGAAAAATAATTTTTGTAGCTTGATAAAGTTGAATAATTTTACAATGTTAGGATACTTTAATTTTTTTTAATCTTGTTCATTTATCAAAACATTCTTTGTTTATCTTCGTTTAATATTGAGCTTTTTATGTCTCTCATTGCTCTAAAATGATTTGTTTAGATCATAATATTTTTTAATTTACTCTGCAGCTGAAAATTGATTTAGTTATTACTAATTGAATATTCATTTAAATAAAATAAACGATTAAATGGAAAGAAATGAAAAATAAATAAAAAACAAGAATTTTTAGTCTTAATGCTGATAATGTGATTTACTTGATTAATAAACATTGTATATAAGTTGACATCAATAGTTCAAAATACGATTTTCTCAAAACAAGTAAATAGATTAGTAGAGAATAGAATCATTAAATCAATTCAAAGGAAAGTAAGGCGAAATTTATAAAGATGATAAAATAATTATATAGCAAAAGTTAAGTAATCAACAGAAGATGCTTTTAAACTAAAATATTCATTAACGCAATGTCTATAATCATAAAAAATTTTTGATAGGTAATTGAAACCAAAACTAAAACTCTTGAAATATGAACAATAAGAGATTAAATAATAAATATATATAAATGAGACTATTATTCAATAGAGATAAATATCTAGATGTGGGTAATAGATGGGAATGTTTATAATTCTTATTTCAGGAAAATAAAAATTTCAATAATTTCTTCAATACTATATGAAAGAAATTTAAGTATTTTTATTTTATAAACAAATTATCCTTCAGGTTGATTTACTTTGGCACTTTTATTTGGAGAGAAAGAATTCATTTTATCTTTTTTTATGATAAACTGAATCGAAAAATGAAAAATTATTAGTTTTTGATAGTATTTTTATTTTGTTTTAACATTTTTGAAAGTTAAGATAGAAAAATGATTCTTTTGTAATTAAGACCTAAATATATTAAATTGCTAAAAAAATAATATTGATTAATGCTTATTAAGGAAAAAATAAGTTCTAGAGCTCATGTAAATGAGAATTTCAAAAGAGAAATATATCATTATGATTGAATCTCAAGTTTTCTAAAGGAAATGATAAAGGGTGGATATTTTAAAGTAATTAATAATAGTCTAAGATAGATTATTCAATAATAGATAAATAGTATGAATAAGAAAGAATTCGTAAATTTTTTTCTCAAAGAAATCTGATGATTTCTCATAATAAAACATTAAATTCTTATGACTCTAAAACCATAATACAAATTAAAATGATTAATTATTCCTAATTATATTAAGCATAAGATTTATTATAAATTAAATTAAAAAAGATACAAGTGTTTCTTTGTCAAAGTTTAGAACATGAAGGAAGTTCAATTATCTGTTTTTGCCTTTCTGCTGATTGTCAGGAACCTAAATCGCAATTTTGCGTTAATTGTTTAATCAATCCCCAAAAACATTTAAATTATAGAATTGACTGTAAGCCATTTGATAAAATTGATACACTACTAGATTTAATTCTATATAAGTTAGATAAAATGCTAGAATAGACTGATTAGAAGTTTGAATAGTTAAAGTTAGAGTATGAAAAAACAATCAAAATTATTTAAAAAGAATAGGAAAAGTTTTAGGAGATAGTCAAAAACTTGAAAGAATAAAAATTCAAGGAATTTCTTGATAATATTGGCAAAATAAAGAATTGGAATACAAAAATAAAATCGAATTAATTTGAGAAAGAAATTATTGATCTCTGTATTAGTAATTTACTATTAGGGTTGAAACAAGGAATCGAATTAATAAACTAGAAGGAATACTAAAGCGCTTTTGTAAAATTTGGGAAAGTTTTAAAAGTAGATTCAAATAATCCATTGGCAACATTTTACTAATGTAAAATATAATAAAAATAAGATGTTACATTTTTTATTAATATACACAATTTGAAATAATATGAATAAGCAATAATCTGCCATGATCAAGACATTTCAATTGAGTCAAAAGATGTTAATGCCTATAATAACAAAGGTATTATTTATTTTATTTTAGCAATTTCCTTATTTTTTTTTATTTTTTAAAGATATAATGTTTGAACCAAATTATATAATCTATAAAAAATTTCTTAAATTGCATTAACTCTGAACAATCCATTTTCACATCAAATTTCTTAAATCATCACCAAACTAAGAACAATGTTATAATCATGAAAATCAATCAAAATATAACAAATTAATTAATTATTTTTTTAATAAAAAATACTCCAATTTCATATAAATGTTCTCCCCATAATTGCATCAATTCCATTTAATATTATTTTATATGGTATTTATCTAACCATATATTATTGTTAACATCTATTTTATTATCTTAGTTGGGCTATATTATTTTTATTTCAATAAAATTTTTTTATCACTAAGTTTTTCACAGTTATTTTATCTTTAATTTATTCAACACTTTTCTATCTATGTTTTCTGTAAATAAAAGTTCTTTATTTTCGATTTTATGCCAAAGT